AAAAAAAAAAAAAAAAAAAAAAAAACGGGAAAACCCATCTTTGATGGTTTATAAACTAAAGTGCCAAAAAATGAAACGACAGCTGGAAGGCCTCACCACTCTAAACAACCAATTAAGGGTAAAAGCCTGTGTTGAGTAATGAGTTCCGTAATGAAATGGAGGTATTGTTTCATGTTCCCAAGACGAGTATCTCTCTTGAAAATATTTACGGCGGCTTTCGCTCAGTGCACCGATGGGCTAAAACTACAGGTTTTGAGCTGTAGCCGAAAGTTAAATAACAATTACAGAAAAGTATTCTAGAGGAAAAAAAACAAGATCCATATAACAAACTTTCCGATACTATCTAAAAAAACAGAAATTTTTCATTTTTTTTATCAAGACAATAAAATATTTCTCAAAAAAGTTATAAACATCAAAAATCCCGCTAAACCTTCGATAAATCGCGAAAGTTTGAAGCTTCATTAAGGTCTAAAGTTTCTGAGGTGTAATTTGCCAGTATCCAAGGAAATATTGGGTACTGATTAAGGTCATTGTATGTTCGACCAGCAACCGTGTTTAAAAACATCAAGTAGTCAAAATTTGATATTTCACGCCTCTGCCATTTCTGCGGCATGTCAGAATGCTTGAAGAGTTGCCGTGGGGTCATCAGACTTGTCTTTCTGCTCTGAGGGAGGCCGTATTTAACGCCAACACCAACACGCGGTAAATATTCAACCACTTTGCGTACAGTATCTTCGTTTGCAAATGCAAACATTATTGCAGCTACAAACATCATTTTTTGTCACCGAAAACCAGAAAATGGGTAGTTGATTCAATAAAACTTTAAACCTACTCCGTGACGCCAAAAATAGCTCCAACGCAGTATTTTTCAGCAAATAACGCCTTAAAAAGATCGCACGAATTTCGTGGAAATGCCATTTTCCATGTAAGTTATCACAGTGTCTTAAACTCTGAAAAAATTAAGGCGGAAATAAAGTAATATGTATATATATTACATAGTCTTTTTTTCTTTTCAAATATACGTGCAGCAGTAACAAAAATATAACCAAAAATATAAATAGAGAAATAAATAAAAAGTATATATATATATATATATATATATATATATAT